CTGCAGAAAAAATCAGATTGTGTCACTAACTGGTTCAGTGTGTTTACACTTAATACTGATAACTGCAGAAAATCAGATTGTGTCAGTAACTGCTTCAGCATGTTTACATCCACTTGAGTAATCAATGAAGGGGAAACTCTGGGTCTACATGAGTCAGACAGTAATCAGATTTCTGCTTTACAACCAGCCAATAAACTCACAGAAGACAACGTGATGTAAACGTAACTCGAACATCATGTTGCGTCTTTTTTCAATATAGCGGAATATATGAATATGCATCAAGCAGAAGATGAATTCTCCATTTCGTCAAGCATGTAGCTGGTTTCAGCGTCGCTCCCAAAGTGCCTTGTTGCAGTCTCGCCGGACCCAACTAAAATCCAGCTCTCTTAACTGGAATTATAGAAATCTGATAACAGCCTTAATCCGATCTAAGAAATCGGAGAATGCTGTTTACACAACCACTTGAATAATCAGGTAAGTTCAGAAATCTGATAATGACCATATTATTGATGTGCATGTAAACACACTCAGTGTTCCCTCTACTTTTGTAGTTGTACGATTGTATGTTACAGGTGCAGCAACAAAATCAGCAGCTCTGAGCTTTTGGAGGATATATCTACTACTAAATTTTTATTTATAGTATTCATTTGTACACCTTTCTTGAGTATAACACTGACCAACGCTTTCTCCGCAGCATGTCTTTACTTTCAAAACAAAATCTAAACATTCAAAACCATGTTTAGAGGGGCTTTAAGTAAAGACAACTAATTTAAGTTGCTGAAACGACTGAGCACATGAAGACCCACCCAGCACGCAGTGTGAGCGAGACCCGTTTCAGAGCAGATTCGTTACAGAACTAGATCATATTAATTCTTCTATGTACCTCCCACACCACATCCAGAGGTTCTCACCTCATAGCAACACATCTGATTGGTTCCATCTCTAATATGTAGGCCTATTAAAGGGAAATTCCACCCATTTTTTAAAATTTCGCAATGGGCAGGGCTCATCTGCTGTAGGCTGAATGGGAGGGGCTAAACCTCTGTTTGCGTATGACGTCACGTGGCGCAAACTGCAGTTCGAGGGCAGGAAGTGATTGTCTACACAGGAAGCACTATCACAAGCTCTCAGAATGCCTGTGGTTTGTGTATTTTACAGTTGCTCAAATTGATCTAGCTGAGAAAGCACAAAGAGCTTTTATTAAGTAGCGAAAGTTGTTCATAAGGGAGAAAAAAAATGCAAGAAAATGACCACAAACGCTGGCAAAAACGTTGGTCTGCAGGCGGGAGGATCGGGGTATTGTTTTTTTTGTTCAGTTCATCTGTGTCTCTGTGCTGGTGATGGATTTAAAACAATATCCACAAGCAACACCACGAACAATTCGGGGTTAGCAGTTACACAAAAGACAGACAAATGTAAATAACTTAGCCTGCTGCGCCAGCTTCTTCTTAGAATTTTCCCGTTCCACCTTAAAAAGTGCCACAGTAACAGTCTAGCGCCAGACTTTATAATAATAACTGCTGCACCGTTTAAGGTGGAACTGGAAAATTTGAAAATAAAGCCAACTTCAGCCTCGTAAAGTTGCCTCCGCACTTTTGTATGCTTTCATTTGTTTTGAGCAGAAGGGCGTCTGGAGAACGAGGTAGCTGCTTATATCTACTGCCTCGAAAGCAAGTTTTTCAATTCAGCTGAAAAATGTTTATTATAACATCATAACATAAAGATCACGTCCAACGCGTGCTGTAATTTTCTGTTTATATCATTCTCTTGCAAATTGCTTTACTCCTGCTTTTTCACTTCCCGCCCTCTATCTGGAATTCTAATGTCATCGAAATCATGTGACTGCAAAAGTATCTGGACAGGCCTTCTACTGAGCGAGTTCAGCTACTTTAAGGTCACCCATTACTAAAATAGCTTGTATAATCTCCATAGAAAAGCACTGACCAACAGAATGGGGCGCTCTGGATCAGCTGCACGTGATCCTAAGGTCTCCATGTCCAATGCCAAGCGTGGGCTACAGGTCTATAAAGCCCCCCCAGCACTGGGCTGTGGAGCAGTGGAACTGTGTTCTCTGGAGTGATGGAGCTCCATCCAGTACCTTTGGGGTGAGCTGGAGTGACCCAGAACTGACCATCCAATATCAGTACCTGACCTCACTAATGCTCAATCAAATCCTCACAGCAATGTTCAACATCTAGTGTAAAGCCTTCCCAGAAGAGTTGAGGCTGCTACCGCAGCACAGACTCCCTATAAACGCCTTCATTTCAGAAGAAGAACTCTTTTGGACTGGAGCTGGTGGAGCTTTTCCCCCCAGCTTCACTGAAAATAACAGAGCGTATTTAATGTGGATTAGGCCTGATCGGCATGCCGTTACCTCAGAAAGGCTTATAAAGTCATTACATTAGACCTACGTGGTCTAATAATATCCCCCCAACACAAAACACTTTAATCTAGAGGCGCAGGCAGGGGCTCTCCTGGTTCCCTACGCTTTCACGTTCAGCCTTTGGCCTAAAACCAACTAAAGGAACAGTTTGGTGAAAACTCTAAATCACACAGCTTCCTCCTCACTCAGGAGAGACGTGCCTGGGGTCGGCTGCTTCTTTCAGCTTTAGCACTGGAGCTAAGAGGCTAAAGCAGCTAACAAACACTGAAAGCTTGTGTACTCTGAAGCTTATGGACTCTACAGATGGAACAACAGTTAATTAAACATTTTCAGTCTGATTACAGATTATAATAGATAACAGAACCAGTTTGAGCCGCCAGCTGTAATGAAAAGCACTCTATGGACGAAGTTATCATTATTGCTGTTTTCAGTCTAGTAAAGAAAGCTGAGGAATATGCAAATGAAACAGATAAACGTCGGTATGTGACACAAGCTGGTGCTGAAGAAGGACCAACGCACCAGTTTGGCAAAATTATTTTGGGTTTCCAACTGAATGAACTGAGAAAGCACTGGATGTGAACAGTACTGTATCTCGAAACAGTGACATTTTCAAGAAAATATTAATTTAATATCTCCAAGAATGACTGATTTTCTCAAAAATAATGACTTAGTAATCTTAAAAAAAATGACATATGTTGCTCAAAATATTGATTTAGCACCCTCAAAGAATTAGTTTCTTGAAATTAAAAATTTGACTTAGTATGTCAAAAAATGACATTTTCTTAAAGATATTTTGTATTTCAAAGAATGACTTATTTTCTCAAAAATAATGACTTAGCATCTCAAAATACCAACATGTTCTCGATATATTCACTCAAAATCTCAAATTACTTATTTTCTTGAAATATTGACTTAGCATCTTGAAATAATGACTTATTTTTTATGACTTCTGATATCTCAAAAAATATTTTTTATTTTAAAATTTTAATTTAAAAAAATGTAATATCTTCTAGAATACTGACTTACTATCTCATAATAATAATTTATTTTATCTAATCATTAACTTAATATCTCAAATTAACTACTTATTTTCTTGAAATATTGACATGGTATCTAAAAATAATGACTTTTTTGAAATTGAAAATTTGACTTAATATCTCAAAAAAATGTATTCAAAGCATGCCTTATTTTCTCAAATACTATCTCAAAAAATATTTATTTTCTCAAAACATTAATCTAACATCTAAAATAATTACTTATTTTCTTACAATTTTGACTTAATATCTCAAAAAAATGACATTTTCTCTAAATATTACCTCAATATCTGGAAACAATGAATTTTCTTGAAATATTGACTTAATATCTCAACATATTTGGCTTAAATATTAACTTATTATTTCGAAAAAAATGAAAATGGCATTCTCTAATTACTGACTTAGTATCTCAAAGAATGAATTACTTTCTCAAAATAGTGACTTATTTTCATGATTTTAGCGATTTTGAGATACTACATCAAAATAATGAGTCGTTTCTAGAAAGTAATTCATGATGTCAGGATAGATCATTATGAAATACCAAGTCATTATTTCAACATATTCTGAGAAAATAAGCCAATTTTCAAGATACCAAGTCAACATATTGAGATATTAAGTCAATATTTAGAGAAAATAAGTCATTGTTTCAGGACAATCAATCATTATTATGAGAAGTCATTATTTCAACATATTCTGAGAAAGTGTCATTTTTTGAGATAGCAAGTCGTTCTTGGAACATACTAAGTCAACATTCAGAGAAAACAAGTATTTCGAGATACTAAGTCAAATTTCCGTTGAGGGGCTACACCTGGAGTAAGGAGGGACTGATTAGGTGAACAGAGGATTCCTTTAAGTCAGGAAAACAAGCGGAGCAGCGACAGAGAACCGAGACAGCAGACAAACAGCAGTCTTAGTTCGTCCTTGACCTTCACAGTCGTGAACACCCAAGGACTGAGCTTCTCAGCCACAAGGTAACAAACACTCAAGAGTTTAGACTGATCACCCCCCCCTTCCCCGTTTCTCTGGATCGTATGCGCCCCCTGGCGGATAAACAGAGATACTGCAGTGTGAAATCACTTCAGCTTCACTGATGTTTATTCTACCTGACTGTAAAATGTGAAACATCTGCGAAAAAGCAAAAAATCTGGAATAAGGTGTGAGAAATCAGAGCAGGTGGACGCTAAAGAACCGCAGCCCACAGCAATATGACGCTATCAGCTAACGGGATCTGAATAACGGACACAAAAGGAAAAATGAGTGATAAAAATGTTTTAAACACATGACTGGATGGCCGAAAGGACAGTCAGAAAATATAAAAGCAGAATGGTCCCAATACACCTCGGACGACGCTGAAGTTGGCTTCTTTTTCGAATTTTCCCGTTCCACCTTAAATGGTGCAGCAGTTCCATTCTGGCGCCTCAGCAGCTACTACAAAAACGCCCGAGGCACCAGAATGTAACTGCTGCACCATTTAAGGTGGAACGGAAAAATTCGAAAAAGAAGCCAACTTCAGCTCTCGTGCCCTCGAAGCTGGACTTACCTTGTGCTTCACGTGCTCAAGAACTACCCTAGCGGTGTCTCACCTTTCTGACGGGTCCGTTGGCTGGCTGGTTCATCTCTTTGAGTCGTTTATTTCCACGAGTCGCTCACGAATCGCCGTCTTTCCTTCACCATTCTCTCGAGACCTGAACAGGAACTTTCACGGTTTTACCTCAAACTTTTTTTTTTCACCCCGACAAATATCGCCGAGCGGTCCTAACGCCGGAATGAACGAGTCTTTACGGAATCGGATCTTTTGAAGCGGTGCTTCTCGGCTAACCAGCTGAATCGATACACAGGTTCAGCTGAATCGAAATGTTTTCGGAACATCAATTAACGCTCAAAGGGAAGCTTTTTTTCCCGCTGCATGATTCAGTATTTCAGATGTAAACAGTGATTCGGAGCAGTTTGGTGTGAAATGGTTCAGATGTCTTTACAGTGGCGGTGATAGGAACCAGGGGTTTACTATCCAAAACCACCAGTGAACCTACACGAGTCTTCTGAGTTTTTATATGGCATGTTGATGATCGTAACAGTGAAAAATAAGTCTTCTTTGGGGACTATTTTGCCTCACAGCACCCTGCATATTATGTATCCCTCCACCATTAATGGATTTTAAGGCCAAAATCTTCTCAAAACTACTGTAAAACAGTGTCTCAGTCATCAGACAGTGAATTCATAACCATTTCATGTAGTAACTTTATGTGAGGGAGCTTTTAGAGGTGGACGTCTGGTTCCTATCACCACCACTGTGGACGATTCTGATTCAGTCTCAGGAACGGCGTCACTCTAAATTACTGCGTCTTAACCATTTATTTATCCTGGGATTTTGGAAAATTGGTGGAATTTCCCTTTAACCCACATCTAAATGTCTTCTTTCGGCATGTGGGCTAAAACTTTGTCCTTGTCTGTACGATACAGAATTCTGGGTAGGCCACTGCTGAGTTTATATAGTTATTACCATTTATTTGCTGAATTTAACAGATTGGAAATAAATAAACAAATAAAATTTGGTCTGTAAAAAAGCTGTCACATTTTATATTTTAATGTTTAATGTTTTTTATTTTATGTTATGTAAATAAATAGTAATTGTGCAGAAATATACCACATTTAAGTTTGTCCCCTGTAGAGGATGTCTTAAAGGGCATTTTATTTTTCCTATGAGGTCCTCTTTTAACATTTGTGTGGTTTTATGAACTCACAACCTCTCATCATCACTTAGCATTAAACAGGCTGGTTTTGTTACTGTCCCTTAAGCAAATGAGCTCTATTCTGATTGGCTGTGCCTCATTTTAAAAGCAGTCAAAGCTGAAACACTCCTTATAAGGTCAGTGTGAGTGGGCGGAGCTAAACAGCTCGAAGCCGAACAGGTGGATGTAAAACGTGTTGGTTTCTCACTAAATCAGTGATTTTAAAGCAGGCTGTTTTTTGCCATATGTGGGCTGTAAGGATGAGAGAGTGAACAGAATGTTTTTCCATACACGACCTGTGCAGTGCAACACCCAGGGAGCACAGAGGCCTTCCAGATTCAGCCAGAGATTAAGCAGGGGTCCCACTGTGGGGGGGGGGTTTGGGTAGTGATTGTTGCAAGTCACCGAATTGCTTAACGCAGTGACATTCTTAAGCAGGTAGATACAGGCAACAATGGACCACTGCAGTCTGGGACACTCACTGCCCTAAACACTTTAGTTCTTTTCTGGATTGAAGGAAAACTACAGCACTTTTCAACCTCATCTGTATTGCACTGTCAGATCACAACAGGCAAATTGGGCTCCTGTCCTCTGGCTTCTATTATAAGGGCTTTTTTTAACCAACAGTTTGCTGTTTCTTGTTGAAACTGTCTGTGTTAATAGAGATAAACGTAAGGATGAACGTGGTTCCGTGAGCCAGTCTCGTTGAACACGGCCAAGAACCGTCTACTTTAGCTACGTTCACATTACAACTCTCATTACTTAAGTCTGATTTTTTGCTCAAATCCAATCTCTCTGACAGGATGGTTCACACTCATTTAGATAAGTGATTCAAATCTGTCATTAATGTGATGAACCGGCGTCCTGAAATGACCCTCGTGAACACATCCTACTCAGTAACGTCACATGAATGAATCACGTTCATCATCAGCACAAACTAACGAGCAGAACGAGCTTCGCTGAGAAGGCCATTAACTCTGATCAGCTCTCAGCTTCATTATTAGAGCGAGACGAAGGAGAAAAAGGTGAGATGAGCTGCTTTTCCACCGTTTACAGGCTTTAACTTCTGTTCGGCGCTGCTGCCATGGTAACGCTGAATGATGGCGCACGCGCAGTGGAAAAAAAGCACATGAATTCCGATCTCAGCATCACATTAAGGTCGCACGGCCACGAATTGGATATGTATGCGATCAAGGACCACATATGAAAGTGGCTCAGGTTGGATTAGAAAAGGTTAGATTTGTGTCCACACAGCCCTGAAAACATCAGATCTGAGTCACGTTAGGGCAAAAAAGTCGGATTTGTGCCACTTCAACCTGGTAATGTGAACGTAGTCTTTTGACAGGAAGGGGCTGCTTGACATGCAAACTGAGCAATCACAGATCATTTTGTGTGACCGACATGTAACTCAAAATGACCGACAGGTAACCCAATAGCGACGCTTTGAAGGTGATAATCACTGTGCTGTTTAAGAAAACTGATAAAGAATTAAGAGAGGACAAATTTGACCTTAAACAGCTTTCTGAGTAATATTAAATAATATGTACCTGGAATTTATTGAATTGTACTGTTGTAAAATTAAGAAAAAGTTTCTAATTTTCATTACCGTTAAAACGCTGCTTACAAAAGTGCCGTTCCCAACGGACTGACTTAAACAGGTGTGCCAAAGCTACAACATGGACATGTACATAGTCAATCAGAACGCAACTGAAAGGCAAAATCGCAATAACTGTGGCCAGCTTAGCGTTCAATGAACACTGGACGCATTCTGGTACGTCTGTGGGTGGAGCATTTGAGGCCGAGACTGGGACAAAAATGCTAGAGTATCACTTTAGTTCTCCCAATTCAACTCACTTAGGGCTGGCTCTGTAGCCAGCAGGTGAAATCAGGTGTGTCTGCTGTGACTGACAGGTTGAAATGCTCCTCATACCGTCAGAAGTGAGTGGGCGTAGCTAAACTGCTGTAGGCTGAATAGATGGACATAAGCTGGTTTTCGTGACATCACAAAAACAAATTTTAAAACTAACCGTTTGCTGGAGGGCATGGACTGAGGGGTAATATTAAACACTTTTCAAACAAATATTTAAACACTACATCCACTCTGAAAGGGTGATTTTCCAAAATATGAGCCCTTTAATAGTGTGACAAGCAAGAAGAATTTTTATCAGTAAAGTTACTGATATGTTGTGAGCTGATAAGAAGGAAGCAGATTCGGTTCTAGCCTTCTCGCTCCATCAGCAGCACCTCATTTAATGTAATCAACTTCACTGAATTAATGGCTCCAGCTCTAAAACCTGCCCTGCACATTCCTCTCAGATGCTTCACGTCCATCTGTCGGGCGAAGCGTCTGAAGCTGAGGCTGGGATGAACACATTTCTGAGGTTTTCTACATATGTTATTATTTTTTGGCTGTAGTTTTATTAGGAAAATACTGAAAATGAACAGAATCTTGCTGTGGACGTAACCCTTCAGCTGTAACAGTGAAACACACAGATCTCTCAGCCACTCTCTCTCCTGAATAAGCTCCTCAGGACCGGTCGCTGTCTGAGGGCGGGTCCTTCTTTGAGTCCAGTGACATCCCAAAACCCATATGAACACCATGAATTCGTTCCCTCTCGTTGGGCAGCCCACATCGCAGTCACTCGGCAGGCTGCCCTTTGACCCAGGCTTGAGGCTTCTTGTTGGAGTGAGTGACTTCCTGTGAGAAACGCTCTCTCGCCCGCTCCCAGTTCTGCTGGTTCCTGCTCCGGCCTATGGATGCCTCCTCCATCGAAAGAGGGCCGACGGAGCCCAGACCGGACTGGACCGGCCGCACCTGCACCCCGATCTGAGAGAGAGAACACGTTGAGTATAACCGTGTGAGTCTAAATTCTTCAAGATTTTTCAAGGGTTCTTTGGTCAAGAAAATGGTTCCATGTACCATGTACACTCCAAGAACCTTTTGCATGATTTAAGCGTTCTTTGCATCATAAACCTTTTTGAAAAGGGTCCTATATATATCAGCAAAACTGTTCCATCCATTGTTACAAGCCAAAGAACCCTTTTATGGTACTATATAGAACCACTTTTGCTAATAGTGTCATATAATAGTGGCATTTTCATATCCTAATATTTTTAATTTAATATTTAATATCTTCCCTTTTAAATCTAGTGCTTTAATCATGTTTTTAATTTCTATTCTCCTACATCTTTAATTTTTTATTTTAATTTGGGTTGTATTTTCTCATATGTAAAGCACTTTGAATGACCGCAGTGTATGAAAGGCGCTCTGTAAATAAACTTGTCTTCCCTTCACATGACCATTTTCCAACCTTTTTATCTTTTTATGTATTTTTTTCGGTGCACATATCCACTTCAAAAGGTACACAGGTCTTTTGATTTCATACTCATAAACACAAACACTAAAGTGCATTCATATGTTATGAAATGCATTCATAAACACATACAAAAATAAGCTTAAAGCACAAAACAGACAGATTTCATGCAACAAGCAGCAATCATGAAGGTGAATGAGCTTCCTCAAGTACAACTGGCCTGTTATATGCAGGTGTGAAGCTCATGAAACCACAGCTATCATCCCCAGACAGGTGCGTCATGCAGGATTTAAACCCAAGAACACCCACAGTGAAGCATGATGGTGGGAGCATCATGATATGGAGCTGTTTCTCTATAAACACTACTAGAGCATTACACGCCATCGAAGGAAACATGAATTGAGTGATGTACCGAGAGATATTAGAGGAGAATTTAATCTCATCAGCCAAGAAACTGAATCTAGGGTTGGGGTGGAGGGGGGGGTGGCAATGGCAACAACCCCACAGTACAGCCAGAATAACTCAGGACTGGTTTCTGAAGAAGGTGAAGGTGTTTGCATGAGCCAAACCTCTGACTCCTGAAAAATGTAAGGAGAACACTGAAATTGAGTTCATCAGTGGAACCCTCATAAGCTCAGGGAACTAAAGACTGGAGGCCAAAACTGAACCACAATGCTACAGAAAAGCTTATTACTTCTTAAAGTGCACATCTCAAAGCTGTAATTGCCAACAATGGCTTTGCAACAAATTACAAATGTTATTAATTTGTGGTGTCTGAATATTTTTCCTATGATATTTATATCTTTGTTTATACTTATAAATACATGCTTTGCTGTTCATATTTATAAATACAAAGTCAAAAGACATTAAAAAGGAATACTTGCTTCCCCTCACTACAGGGTGATTTAAAAAGATTCATCTGATTTCAAAATTATTTATTTTACTTGTAAATCATTACAGAACAATGCAGTAAACTGTAAATGTTTTAAATAAGCATAAAGTTTATTATGTAATTGTACAAGGTCTCAGTATGAACCTCCTCCAGCTGTACAGACAACATCAACACCATAGTCAGATTCATCCCATACTGGATTGAGCATGTCGGGTGTCGCTGCACTCACGGCTCTTTCAGTGCGATTTCGGAGATCATCCAGTGTTGTGGAACCAACGACGAACGCTCTGAGCTGCTGGAGCTTCACTGCCCACGAAAATCACGCTGCACAGTTATGACTGATTCACTCTTATAGAAGTGGAGAACGCAGAACGCTTTCTGCTCAGGGGTCTCATCTCCTCGCAGATTGAAGGGAGCCGTCTTCCACTGACAGTCAGAAACTCAATGACCCCCTCTTTCAATTGGATTGTGATTGGTTCCTCGGCGCCTCACGGTTTGAAAAATATGGCGCTTTGAAATCGTATGAATCTTTTTGAATCACCTTGTATGTTCGGACTGGCTGCCCTGTATTACGCCTCACTCATAAACAGCAGTCCGGGCTGAAACACTCCTTATGATAACAGAAGAGAGTGTGCGGGGCTATACTGACATCACAAAAACAATGAATGCATTCAGTGAAACATTGTGTCTACATATCGCATGTTTGGAGAAAGTATTGTGGAGCGTATGACCACAAGAACACCCACAGTGAAGCATAAAGGTGGGAGTATCTTGATCTCGATCGAGCAGAACCAGCAAAACCAGGTCCTAAACTATGTTTAGTACTGTTTTCGTGCCATTCACGCCAGGTTCCATCTATCAGTGTGCTCATCGGTCCTTGCTGCGCTGAGAATGATCCACCACCCAAATGTTATCTGGTCAGTGGAGTAACTGTAAATCTAAATCTAAGTGCACCTTTGGATGGTAGGTGTTTCTGATAAAATGGACAGTGCAGCTACAAAGCAGGACTAACTATGTGTCACTCAGTGTATAAGCTGTATGTGTGTGTATGTGTATTTACTGGTTCTGTGATGCCGGCTCCGTCTTTGCCCAGTCCCTCTCCGCTCTTCCAGCCCATTCTCTCCAACATCTGCCGTCCTTTATTCTCCTCATTGATTTCCCTACAAACACAAACACATACCATATCAGAGTTCAGAGGAATTACGGCCACAGCTCAGTGCTACAGTGGCTGCTGGCAGACAGGAGATTCAGAAACGGCAGTAAAAGAGGAACTGCAAACTGTGACAAAGGACAAGCACACATTTCCATTTGTTTGTGTGTGCTTGTCTTCAAATTTGTTTACTTAATCGGCTATCTGGCCTTGGGTAGGTGCAGTTTGGAGCAACCTGTGCAAGAAATTAGTGTATGTTCCTATGGCTTTGACTGAGTGTGTGTGCTGCAGAACTGCAGAGAACGTGGGGACACAAGTAGCTGATTTTGCCTCTCATGTTGAACTACATGGAACATCTAAAAAGGAGTCGTAAATAGAACCATTTCAAACGAAAAGCTGACGTGCGTTTCAGTTTTTTTAAAAAGTTTGCAGGGATATTCTTCCACAACTCCAAAGTTCAGTATTAGAAGCTGGTTTAACATCTCACAATTCAAATAATCCCACATTCAGTGATGTTGAACTCTGGATTGGTCAGTCCATTATTCTGAAAACATACGTTTCTGTGTATTTAGCTTCCTTTAGCTGGGATTTGTAGTCTCTTTAAGGCTCCCTTATTGACTAAAGCGATGGTGATCTGCATTTCAGAAACATTCTCAGAACTTTTCATTTAATTCAGGCTCAGGTCAGGTTCAGACTCAAAACAAGATAAGGTAGTTTGGGTCAGTTTCAGACAGAATTTAGCTCTACTTGGGTCAGCTTCTGACTTAAAACTCAATGATGTGGTTTGGTTTTCTGCAGTCAGGTTAGTTTCAGACAGTATTTTGCAGCACTTGGGTCAATTCTAGCCTCAAAACATAATGTGGCTCGGGTTCATTTCGGACCAAATTTTGCTACCAAAATCTGTGACCAAATTTGTTAGTCAGTTTTTGACTCAAAACGTGCTGTGACTCAAGTTAGGTTCAGAAAGACTTTTGCTAGACTCGGAATAGTTTCCGACTCAAAACATGACGAGGTGGTTCGATATTGCTACACTCAGGTCAGTCTTAGACAGAATATTGCTGTTCTTGAGTCGATTTCTGACTCAAAACATGACCTGACTCGGGTCAGTTCCTGACTCAAAACTTGATGTGGTTCAGGCCAGTTTCAAACAGGCTTTTGCTATACTGGGTCAGTTTCTCCCTCAAAACATAATGTGGTTTGGGTCAGTTTGGGACTGAATTCTGTCAGGTTTGGTTTGGCTTTAAACTCAAAACACACAGTTGTTCCAGACAGAATTCTGCTGTTCTTGGGTCAGTTTTGGGCTCAAATCACAAGAATGTGGCCTGGGTTGAGCTTAGACTCAAAACAAGATGCTCGGAAGGAAAATTCTCGGTTTGTATTTGGATCTGGACCAAAATGTCAGGTCATGATCAAACTGGAGTGCGGTGACCAGCGCAGTCCAGTCTGATCATACAGTCAAAACTCAAACACAACAAAACTGTCAATTTTACACCTGCTGGTTTTATCAGAAATGACCACACACCGCTAAGATAAATTATGGCTACCGACTGAGTGAAGTTCTCACAGGAGCATGGCCTACAGCTGATCTCTGCTCTGCCCGGCAGGCTAATTTACTGTAAGGATGGCAATCTATAATCGGCTTAGCCTGGCGCGACTGCTCATGACACCCAGTTCCTAAAATCAGTTATTAATAAAGTCCTGAGTTCCAGCCTGGACAGAATCAGACACTAGGCAGGATATGCTCTGTCTCTGTTGGATTGAGCTCACTTCCCCTGCTTTCCTACATCCAGTAAGTCTGTGGCACAAGGACAAATTAGCTTCTGTTTTTCTTTGGGACTGAAACAGTGCCAACAGTTCTGTCATTGTTCCTTTCCAGAGCTCTCAAAGATGAATAAACAGCAGAAATGTAAAAATGACTCTGCATGCTGTGGGTGGGAATTGCAACAGGCCTCACGATAAGATGGACCAAAAGCGATATTACTGTGGTACTTAATCTAGATACAATATAATTCTAATAAAATCTACTGGTCTAAGGCCCAATCCCATTTCTGTTTTTTACCCCTACCCCTTGTTTTCAAGTGTCTCCTTGCCTCTTAGAACTGAGTTACAGGGTAGTGGTTGAAATCTTCCCTCTGAAATGGGACCCTGAAATAAAAAGAGCATCACTTCATTAACAGCTACTAGCGCTGCTCTGTAGGCGACCCTGCCAGTCTGCAGTGACAGCAGAGGAGGGTAAAGTTCAGCTCCTCACTGCTGGGCTTTAGTTACATTTAGGGGGTCATATGCCTTCAAAGAGGGGCAATTATTTATTATCACCCACCCCTAGTTCTTCAGTGATATGAAGCTGAAGTCAGATATTCACCAGCTTCTGATTTGAATTTGATTCCACCTTAAATGGAGCAGCAGTTACGTTGTGGCACCTCTGAAAAATCTCTGTTTGGAGGACCATGTAGCCCTAACACTTCACCCCACACCTCTATCTCAAATAAAATCAGGACACTCTACCCCTAGGCGTAAATGCCCAAAACAGAGGGGCTAACAGAGTAGGGCTAAGTGGTAGGGGCAAAGGGTGAAATGGGATTGGGCCTAAGAGTGGGCTTCACATATGTTAAAAAATATTAGAAATAATCTACCCATATATATAGCAAAAATAAAATGTTATATTTTTCATGATGCACAAAAAATAAAACCAGAAGTGCCATATTTAAAAGATACTATCAAATACAAATGTTTTTTTCCCAGCGTTTCCCTTGCTGCACTGCACTAAATCCAATTAAACATGACTACACAGGCTCTTTGTAATAACACATGATGCTACTCAGTGTCAATACTGACAATATCAATGATATGCTCAGAAAAGCAGATTGTAATGCATCATGACTGCAATACATATCCTCATACTGCCCAGCCCTACCTGCATGTATCAATACTATAGTTAAGAATGTGCCAATACTATATTTTACCTTTTTTGGACCCAACCCTAGTGCAAGCTACCACCCCCCAAAATACAAAAATGGACTGCTCTGATTGGTCAAGAGAAGTTTGTTCTGGAATTAAACCTACAACTTTAAGATCACTTTCAAATTACAACCCTTACTGCTCAATTGCTGTTTTTGCTCCGATTCAATATTCATCTTCATTCTTCATATTCATGCCTGCAAATGGCCCTTATGTATCATTCATGCAACCTCACCTCTGTTCTAAAAAGACCTTCACACACACATCTCAAACTCAATATCAAATGTATGATCAAAAGGCATGACTAAACCAAAAAGGGTCATGTGTGTCAGATAAAATAAACAGCCCAGCAGCACAAGTGTGCATCATTTAGTCTATTTGCTGCAGAGGTCGGTTGGTGGGTTGCCAGCTGCTGAGTGATTGCCTGATATACCTGATCTAATCTTTTTCTCAAGAGACGTTTCTAATGAGGTTAGATGCAAGATAATCCACTTGCACACAGAAGGAGAAAGTGGAAGTGAAAATACATGAAATTATCAAAACGAGAGTGATTAAAATCCTAACAACCACCTGGAAGAGCTGGTCGACACCAAAACTGCCCCCATCAGATAAACAGCACTTAAAGCTTTCATCTTTGAGAGAGAGGAGAAAATCAAGCTGCTTCAGATCTGAAAACATCCACAGGTGTTTCTGTCCATCCTTCCACTGTGAGAAGACGACTCAGCGCTGTGGGTCTGAAAGGATGTGTAGCTGATCAAGAAGAACCTCACTGAGAAAAGGAGATGGACACATCAAACAAAGAAGCTGGACAATGGACTGACCACCCCAGAGTCCAGACCTCAACACCACTGAATGTGTTCGATTATTTCAGAAAATGATCAACCAGCTTCTAAGACTGAACTTTGGAGGTGTGTCTGCAGATTCTTTGAGGAACTGAAAGTGAGTCTCCTGAAGAGAATGGAAGCTGGAATGAAAGTAAAGAGTGGACCAGTAAACACTGAAACAACTAATATTGGATTTAATTGTTGAAGCTTCTGTACAATTTTCTGTTAAATAAGTGTTTTCTTTTTTTTTTCCTGACACTGAAAAATGAATAACTTGTGCTTGATATCCATTTTGACTGAAAATTAAATAAATGAAGGGTGATTTTGCCTCAGTACAATACACAGGGTGATTCAAAAAGATTCATCTGATTTCAAACTGATTCATTTCACATGTAAATCATTACAGAACAATGCAGTGAACTGTAAACGGTTTAGTTGAGCATAAAGTTTATGTAATTGTACAAGGTCTCAGTATGAACCTCCTCCAGCTGTACAAACAACATCAACGCCATAGTTAAACTCATCCCATACTGGATTGAGCATGTCGGGTGTCGCTGCACTCACGGCTCTTTCAGTGAGATTTCGGAGACCATCCAGTGTTGTGGAACCAACGATGAACGCTCTGAGCTGCTGGAGCTTCACTGCCTATGAAAATGATGCTGCACAGTTATGACTGATTCACTCTTATTGAAGTGGAGAACGCAGAACGCTTTCTGCTCAGGGGTCTCTATCTCCTCGCAGACTGAAGGGAATCATCTTCTGGTGACAGTCAGAAACTCTATGACCCCCTCTTTCAATTGGTATGTGATTGGTTCCTAAGGGCCTCACAGTTGTAAAAATATTGAAATCAGATCTTTTTGAATCACCCTGTATATACGTATAGTCAATGGTTCGGCGATTGTAGCCTCTCGTTCTCATTCATACAGCTTGTGGACTCTTGTTAAAATGGAAGATCTCAAGGGGAACTGGAGCTCCACCAAGCTGCTGCTTTGTTAGTTTGCTGCTGGTTGATTTATCTATAGTTCTCCCGTGAGCGTCTGTCCAGCATGGTGTCCTGAAGGCTGTAAAGGTTTCGCTTTGAAAGACGTTTAAAAGCTGTAGTTCAAAGAGAACGCTATAACCACGGATTCAATCAAAGCAACAAACAGCGCACTGCAGCTGGGCTTCAGCCTGCACTACTACAGACATGTTGGAGGGTCAGACCAGGAGAATGCACTAATGGTGTTTAAATAAACCGTCAGCGGTGTAAAGAATATATAACGTGAAAATACTCACACGTGCACGGATGCCGGAGCGTCGTCTCTGTGGAAGGCTCCCTCACTGCCCACCGTCTGTCTCCTGGTCTCTGCTCGGTCCTTGTACTTACTGTTCTTCAACACGCCGCTGTCCTCATATTCACTGCTCTGTACAGAAACACAGGGAAACGTTTAAAAAACAAACACACAGGCAGATGGTAAACATCATAAACATAAGCAGTATTTTCAACTTCTCTAGCATTTCTCAGGGTTTGTTTGAAATGGTGAAATTTTTTGTGAATATATTTTTATTCCAGATTTTTGCATATCACACAATAAACCAGAACTGCTGCTACTCAGTCCTTCATATTCTACTATTCTGTTCCTTCTTAAAATCAAGAGACTCTTGACAGGCTCACCAGCTGTGTATTTCTAAGTGGATGTCACAACAATTTCTATAACTAAATCAAGAAAATTGAAATATTGATCCTTGGAACTGAAACTCTAAAACTGCTTTATGAAACGTTCAGCCTTTTCTCTCTCAGAGCAACGCAGAGAAACTTGTAGCTGCGTTTGTTCAGCAGAGTTGATCACTGTAATGATCTTCTTACTGGAGAAAACAGTCCATCCTCTAGAACCCGTACAGAACACAACAGCACGGATCCTCACAGCACCAGCACAGAGAGCTCATATCACCCCTGTTACACACTGCATTGACCGCCTGGATCTTTGAGAGAATTTAAAGCTCTGCTGCTGGTTTTTAAAGCTCTAAATGACCTTAAGGCTCCTAACTGTTTTTTTTTTTGACACCACAACAAACTATTTTTATAATACTACTTTCATAATAAGTTGTCTCCAGATGTGAGCATTACTGTGCAAAAGTCTGACACTTTTTAAAAAGCTATTTCACTGGGCTGGTTTCATAACCAGAAATCCTTGTTACTTTTTACTGCACTAATGCTTGTTTGGATTTATTGCCACGTTATATTGTATTTTTACAAGAAGCAACACAATTACTGCACAGTTTAACAGTTACAGACAAAACAAGTGGGTGCCTGAGACTTTTGTACAGCACTGTATTCCAACAAGACTGACCAACTTAACCCATGTAGCACTCGGGCCGTAATCACGGTCCTGCTGTTTCATCAGAAATAAACAGGACAGACTTACTTCAAGGCCGTATTTGATTTTCATCTGTTTGAGCCCCTTCTGTCTCTGCACCTCTTTATCCTCTTTACTGAGCAAACACACTGAAAAACAAACAGGAGAACACAGAGGTCAGTCATCAGACGCAATCCAGCAACACTAATAATGTACAATGATGTTATCACAGGTAATTAAGAATCATAAGGCCTTTTTACACCAAGCGTGATTTTTTCATGCTATTTCCTCAGATTAATATGTTTGAATATGCTTGATTTTTGCGAACCAATCACAGTCAGCTCTGTGGTCGGCATGACGACAACCAAAATGACAGCACTTGACTGTTAAACAAAGCAACTAAAAAAAATAATTCAAGTTACACAAAACACGTTCAGTTACTCCACTAATTAGCCAAAGAAGCAGCTTGTATTTTTGGACACACCCCATCATTTTTACTGAATGGAGCATTCTACCAAATTAGTTTGAATTTATGACCATGATCTACTTTAAACACATTAATAGAGTTATTAATAAGCTAAATCTATACAAAATCATCATTTATAGGGTACTTTCCAGTGGGTGGTGTCTGTCTCAAATCCTTACCCCTAAACTGACTTTTGTGAAAATAATTACATCACTTTGTTTTGCTTTTATTTTATTTTTTAAGGCATTTTTTATTTATTTCAAAGTTGAAATACACCACTCAGGCATAACATTATGACCACCTCCTTGTTTCTACGCTCACTGTCCATTTTCTCAGCTCCACTGACCGTATAGTTTCACTCTGTAGTTCTACAGTTACAGACTGTAGTCCATCTGTTTCTCTGCATACTTTGTTGAGAATAGTCCACCAACCAAAAATATCCAGCCAACAGCATAATGTTATGCCTGATCGGTGTAGATTCATAATGAATATATATATATTTTTTTTTAATAAAAAACCTTCATTCAAAAAATGCTCCTGTCACTACCGAAACATAAAGCGCTTTGATCCATAGGCAGAGCTTTACTTTAGCCACACCCCTGCATTTTAGAGCAGGAAGTGAAGCTACATCCCTGTCCCTCATGGCCACATGTTGAGCAGTTAGATCTCATTGTTTTGATGAAAATGCATTCCAAAGTCTGAAAATCAGTGTGGAACATGAGGAATTGTCACTACTGAAACACATTTTCTGAAATTAAGTTAACATTTTAGTGTTTTAAAGAAAAGTATCATGATTTTATGTGTGTAAAGTTGTGTTCAAAGCTGTGTTTGCTGGTCATGTACTGGCTAGAGTTTTTAAGTTCTGCTCAAAATGAGCCACAATTGTCAATATTGAAACCGTCACTACTGAAACACCTGGAAAAGTTTCGGTAGTGTTATGATTGTTTTGGTAGTGACAAAACGGAATGATCATTTGTTTGAATGAAATAAACATAACTAAAGTTTAGGGTCACTCAAAGCGAAAGTGTTTTAGTCTAAATCTTGTACTTTACACATCTGCAGTTTTATCCTCTTCGTATATTTTTTCCAGCTATCATTGCCGTTTTTTCTTGTATCCGTCTTCTATCTAGAGTTATTTACTGTTGTATGTTAATCCTTAAAAAAATAACACTTAAGTAGTTGCAATGGTTACAGCCTACTTGATGAAGCACTGGAGCATCTCAGTCTCCTTTTCTGTAATAACTTTTATCATTTGGGTCCCAAATGAATCAGCAATCTGTTTAAAATTAGAGAGCGTCAAGAGGAAATGGAGTCTGTGCAGCATCTACTGTTTTATTTTCTTGTTTTGGTCATGTGACACACTACTCCCACTTTGATAGGCTGTTTCATGAAACTTGTTCCACGAAGTTGCGACGCTTGCAACTGCTGCAGCTGAGTTTCAAATGAGCTGCAGGAGGCTTTACCTTGTGCAACTCAAGTGCAATTTAGTTTCATGTAGGTTTCAAGCAACTAAAGTTGCATGAACCTTTCACCACGTAAGTAATTAAAGGGTCTGCGCTTGTACCTGTGTTCTCCTCCTGGCGGTGTCGGTGTCGGCTCAGGTGAGCTCTGACCTGTCCTGGTTCACAGCCGTCACAGGTGTCGGTGCCTGTGTGAATGTGGAAGGATAAAACCGTCTCCCCCAGCTTCACCTCATCGCCGTGGGTCAAAGGGTAAGGGTCACACCGCACCTTAGGCTGTGGACGCACAGACACAAACAGATCGTCACAAAACGTCCTCCCATTAAACACTACGGACTCTGATGTCCGTCAGGGCGTTCAGCGAGACTTGTGTGAAGTAATGATGCACAATGGTAGGGGTGGGCGATATGGCAAATACATTATATCATCATACTTCAAGACATTGTCACACTATGCATCATGATATTTAGGCCCTATTCCATTTCTGATTTTTACCCCTACCCCTTGTTTTCGAGTGTTGCCCCTTGGAACTGAGTTACAGGGTAGTGTTTGAAATCTTCCCTCTGAAATGGGAGCCTCAAATAAAAAGAGCATCACTTCATTAACAGCTACTACTGCTGCTCTGTAGGCGACCCTGCCAGTCTGCAGTGACAGCAGAGGAGGGTAAAGTTCAGCTCCTCACTGCTGGGCTTTAGTTACATTTAGGGGGTCATATGCCTTCAAAGAGGAGGGGCAATTATTTATTATCACCCACCCCTAATTCTTCAGTGATACGAAGCTGAAGTCAGATATTCACCAGATCATTATTCTAATTTTTAATTTAAGGTGAAACAGGAAATTTGGTTAGCTAGCTACTGAGACATCAGCATAATAGTAGCAAATTTTTATGCTTGTTATGAAGAAAATTACAGTAATAAACTGAAACAACATTAAACTAAGATAATGCGATGGTTATTGTAGTTTTCAACAGAGAAAAACTCACATCTGTGTGTTTCTTTGGTCTCTTGTTCAGCCATCTTGCCAGTTTTTCTGTTTTTTTATCATAACACTCCATTTGGAGTCTCTGAAAAACCTCTGTTTGGAGGATCATGTAGCCCTAACACTTCACCCTACCCCTCTATCTCAACAAGAATCAGGACACCCTACCCCTAAACGAGAACACGCAAAACAGAGGGGTGGGGCTCCGTGGTGGGAAAAGGGGTGAATTGGCATTGGACCTTAGTTTTTCTAAGATTTAATAAGTTGTAACTGACTAAACAGAACCTGAAGTACCACATTTAAATCAAGCTACAATGAGTTTTATTCAATGTTTTACAAACAGCTCTGCACTAAACCCAATTAAATAGGCCTAATTATGCTCACTTTGCAATGAAGCATGTAGTAAGTCAGCTTTATTTGCACTGCTTTTGTACATACAGTGGGTATAAACAAAATTTGGGTCAGCTATAGGAATTGTTTGCACCAACTTTTAATGATTTATTTATTTTCACTGAGGTAGAAGAGCAGTAAGCTCTGTAATCTGCCTCATTGGTCAGTGTTTTAGTTTTTGTTTAGTTTTTAACCAGTTTACTGCTTACCTTTGTAGCATTTCAGGATATTTGCTGGACTTGAACTGTATATACACACACACACACACACACACATATATACACCCACTGTACATATATACCCTGAGTAGATGTATAATATGTATACATAGTATGTACTGGGGTACCTGTAGGATTCTGTTGCCGTTGACGACTGTGCCGTTCTGACTGCCCTGGTCCACCAGCATGTAACACTGCTGATCTTGATCAAAATACACCTCCACATGTGACTGCAGGAGAAAAAAAAACACAAATGGGCTGCCGATTCTGATCAAAACAGACCCCCACACACACAAAACACACTTCAACACTCCTACACAGCAGAAACAACACAAGCATCAATCTTAAATCTTTTTCACATAAGCTATACAATGCAATTTCTGCCTGTTTTTGAAACTCCCTCAGTTTAGCCTTGAATTATTTTTTTTAATTAAATTAGAAATTGTTTAAATATTTTAATAACATTTTAACTTTGCTTTGAATCAAACTATTTTTATTTGACTCTATTAATACAAATATCCAAGGACTGCAGGTGGAACAGTCACTAGCAGGCGCTGCAGAGAGGGGTTCAAGTGGTCAGTCGCTCTCCGGCAGAGCTCATACCTTACTCACTCCCATCTCCGGAATCCGGATGGCATGGTTCAGGTCTTTCTCTCTGCAAACACACACACAGTTATTTATGACTTCATAAACAGCAAAGATAAACTGAACCACACATGAGCTACATGTCCAAATGTATCCAGACGGCCATTCTACTGTGAGAATTCAACTAGTTTAAGGTTCACCAAGGGCCGGGTGATGTGACAATATAATATACCATTATTGTGATAAATTACGCTACAATAACAATATGCTTTTGGGAGCATCTCAACGATGTCGTTGGTGCTTAAAAAACACTGAACTGCATGTTTTATTACAGGTAGAGCACACACTAACTGGATTTAGTGTAGTGCAGTAAGCGAAATGTTAGAATACAACATTTGTGCTCATATTTTTGGTAGCATTTATCAGTTTGTTTGCTGAAGTCCAAACCAGAGTTTGGGTTTTTGAATCTTTTTATTTGGTTCAGGTGGTTTTACACTGCAGTGCACCAAATTATACATGAGAGCTTGTTTACTGGACAGAAATTTTGCAGGGATACTCCGTTACGTTCACGTCCGCCACCATTTGAGCCAAAAAAAAAAAATCCAACTTTGCATGAAAAATGTTACAGTCAAAGCAATATTAATAACAATAATTAAAAATATTTGCTTCTTTATGATTAGTTTGTCAATTTGAATGTAACCCATCTGGTTGCTGATGCAATACATTCCATGATCCATGTGCCAAAATCAAAGGTATTACTTGACTATTATTAGTGCTCTGTTATTATGAGCAGCTCATGCAGCAGGAATGATATGAGCATCTGTGAACAATCAGATGTTGAAATAAGCAGATTATGGGAACAGTGCTGCGCTGACAAATCAGAGAAACATGCTATGATGTTAAATTCCTTAGCTTGGTGCGGACAATCACCAGCAGCAAACCGTGGTTCATTTGTTTAGGGTGCACCTGAGTATGTGTGCAGTGTTCACACCTGTCAAAACAAACTGAAATAAGGAAAATGTTGATAGGTCTGCACCAGGTAGGTGTGAAACTTTGTCTGTTCCAACTTACCAAACCTTAGAAAAATGAAATATCATGACATTTTGTGTATCATGAAACGTTCTTGAAATATCATAATATTCCATTTTTGCCGCATCAGCCACTCGGAGTGATGATATAGTCATCCTACATCAGTACCTGACCTCCCTTATGCTCTTATGAATGCTAAATGCAATCAAATCCTCACAGCAATGTTCCAACATCTAGGGTAAAAACTCAACAAGAGCACAATTTCATAAGTGCAAAGTGCTCCAGCTGCACAGCTCTTAGTTTGTTAACTAGAAGTAAAATCAGAACTGAATTGATACTGACCGGCCGATAGTTGCGACAGTATCAGCTGTGAGGATAAAGAGAGTTCCGGGCTGAAGGACAGGAGAACGAACCACTGTCACCCTCACGCACGGAGGCCATGCTTCTGCAACACATACACAAAAATGCATAACAATAACCTGCAGAGGAAAATAAACAGCAGGACAGCAGGTGGGCCTGAATTATTAATCGTTTTATGGCGAAATTGATTTTGAAAAAGTGCAATTTTCAAATGGCAAAAGCTGAAATTTTAATTAAAGCAAATTTTAATTAAAGCAACGTTTTCTTTCCAAGGTTAAGGTAGAGACATTTAACCTAATAAGGCTCAGTTTGTGAACCACCCGTAGGTGAGTCGACCAATCAGAAGCAACCAAGCAGCCATGTGTTGTGTATTAAACAACCACAACTAGCAGGCTGTCTGGCACACTAGTTGTCTTTAGGGCCAAAAAACAGGCCTGTATCCACTTGCATAAAGTTCTTCAACTATCTTAAGTTAAATGCTTAAGGGATACATTTAAAACTGCAAATTCAAACGTAAACTTTGCAGCTGCCACAAACTGAAGTGCTAAAACGTTCATGAGCTCCTTCTAGTGTGGGTTCAGTGTTTCCAGGCTAATAGTGGCCTTACTGAAGACATTTCAGACTGCAACACTTTAAACGAGTGATTTCCAAAGCCACGCCCACATGCGTTATTAAAAAAACAAGGTGTTTTCCGTCATTATAGCGGAGTCACTCTGGAATTCGGCTATAGATGGCTTTGTAGTAGACTATAGCTGTGTCCCAATTCAGGGGCTGCGTTCTTCGGAGGCTGCATTTGAAGGCCGTTTGGGTGACAGCGGTGCGACTAGACTGTCTCATTTCGAAGGCTCCTTAATGTGCGGCCGAGAAATGTGTCCTTCTTTTCCATGGCAACGAAGGATCCAGCAGGTGGAGCCTTCGCCAGCCAACATATCCCGAGGTTCACTACGTGGCAGTGAGAAATCCAGAACACAGCAGCATCAGCAGATGAGCGAACGGCGGCTGAGGAGACACTTTAAATGTAAGTATTGGATTTAAACTAATGCTTCGTTAGCGTAAGTTTTGCTTTGTCGGGAGCAAGGTGCCGACAAAGCATCTCCAGCTCTAATAAATGAAAAAGTAAAACACTAAAATCAAAGCTACTGGCTCTTTAAAGAACTTTCTGGATCTTTAAAACACTTTAAAGGAACTTGACGGGAGCGGTGTTTCGTGACGCAGCTGTAAGGGCAGGAACAGTGGTGCTGTGACGCAAACAGGAAATCCGCCGTAGAGCAGACCGTCTCATTTCGGTTCAGCCTTCGTGGGTCTAAGCAGCTTTCGAAGGACACGCCTTCACAGACCACATCCTTCGAAGGATGCAGACCCTGAATTGGGACACAGCTTATGAATTATAATATTTAGAGAATTTTCAGAATGGAACACTGAACTACTTTAACCAGTGTTTCTCAACCCTGGTCCTGGGGGCCCACAGCCCTGCACTTTTAGTGTTTTCCCTGCTCCCAACACACCTGATCCAATGAACCAGCCCATTAACAGCCCATTATTGAATTAAAGAGGGCGTGTTCAAGCAATTAAAGCATAGGGAAGTGGGCCACCAGGACCGGGGTTGAAACGCTGACTTAGGCTGTACGAGAAATGCTGTAAATTTCTCTCAGACTGTGTGAATCACACTCTACTATGGCCTGCTGGCTTTTAAAGACCCCATAATAACTCAACAATAAAAGTTCTATCAATAAAAGTGAATACAACACTGTGTGTATGTATTCCTAGGGGACAGCAGCACATCAACGATGCACAAACATAAACAACGGCACCTTCCGCTAATTAGTTGACTGATAAATAAAGCTGATAAGTCGTTAACTGATTATAAAAACTACTGTTAGCTGCAGCCCCAGTTTTCCGGGTCTCCACACCTCTGGCTCTTTCCACCCAGTGACAAGTGCAGCTCTAATACTGTGATCTTGCCATGTGAAAGGTGAGCACTCTCTCTCTCTCTTCCTCTCTATACCCTTCTTCCCTTATGTCTCTTTCTCACTCTCTCACCTTCCTGCGTCTCGTTCTCTACGCAGTCTGGAGCCGGAGAGGCTGCTTGAGAAACAGACGGCGAGGATGATGATGCTGGTGATGAAGGCTCTTTCTCTCCTTCTGACCCCGTGATCTCTCCTTCCTCTGGCTCGCTCTCATCGCTCGTGTCATCAGAGCATGACTTCCTGTCCCTGCGAGTTTTCCTCCTCCTCTTCTTCTTCCTTTTCTTCTTCTTTTTGCTGCTGCGTCCGTCGTCGGAATGCGACCCGTTCTGTCGCCGCCTTCTGTTTCCACGACGACCGGATCCATCTGAATGAGACGAGCGCTTCCTGCTCCGCGAGCGAGAGCGTCGCTCTTTTCTCCGTGTTTCATCCCTCTTTTCCTCCTCTCGATACTTAACAGGCTCAGGACCCTCCCCCACATTGCCGTGGTCCTGTCAGTCAGCAGACATTTAGCCAATCAGGACTGAGGATTGGTCTCCAGACTCTCCCCATTCATTGATTTATAAGACAATGGATTGAACGATTTATAGTATATGCTTGGTGGGGCAAAATGGTATTTATCATTAACTGGTTTTGTGTTTAACAGCCTAATAGCCGACTTATTCTGGCTCACACACATTTTAAACGTTTGTAGAAGTGTGTTACGAAAGCTTTTAGCCGTTTCTAGACTTTACAGTAACTGAAAATAATCTACTTACTTAATACTAAAAAAGTTTGAGTGCACAAGTTACAATGCTGGCCTAATGGCATGCTGCTTCTGCTTAGTACTATCAACTATAAAATTCCAGAATTTATTCTTAACTCAGTGTGTGAGGTGTAAACAGAGTCATTCAGAGTGGTTTGGTGTGAAATGGTTCAGATGTCTTTACAGTGGTGGTGACAGGAACCAGGGGTCGCCATGACTACAACACAAATATAGACATTTTATTTACTATCCAGAACCACCAGTGAACCTACACGAGTCTTCTGAGTTTATATGGAATGTTGATGACGGAAAATAGTGGAAAATCTGAAATAGGACGTTTTCTTTGGGGACTATTTTGCCTCACAGCGCCCTGCATGTATCCCTCCACCTTGAATTTTGAGGTTAAAATCTTCTCAAAACAGTGTCTCAGTCATCAGGCAGTGAATTCATAACCATGTCATGTAGTAACTTTCTGTGAGGGAGCTTTTAGAGGTGGACGTCTGGTTCCTATCACCACCACTGTGAACAATTTGGACTCAGTAAGTTTCTCTAGAACAGAGCGTTTCACACCAAACCACTCTGAACGACCCTGTTTACATCTCAACCATTTAATTGTGTAGAAAATTTTGAAAAATGGATGGAATTCCACTTGAAGGCTACTATAGATATGTAGGATAACTTAGCCACTGTTGAAACTTCAGAAAGCTTCTAAGACACCATACGCAAAGGGGCATGTTACTTCATGACAAATCCAATTAAGAGCTGTTAATAACAATACAGTTTAATACAAATTATTAGATTATTATAGACTCTTTTCGGATTGTGTGGGCATCAATCATATGACTCAGAGCCTGACAGTTTCCATTTGGAGTCTCGGGTTGGAAATTCAACACTAAGCTACTCAACCATACAGGTCTCAGCCTGCAGCTGTATGCACACCACCTCTTAACCAACTACAGCTTAGATAGATTTCACTGGAAAAATACTGAAACTTGCAGCCCAGTATAGGACTAAATAGTCAGTGTTGCGCATGTATAACTGTGACACATTCTCATCTACATGAGGGTCCACTGTGTTGCACAGGGGCTACTATGTGCTCCAATCAATTATGCATAAATATGAACTTGTTGATATGTTTGCAAGTTATCTGCATCAGGCTTCGCTTTCAGGTTGGATGTAGTGCGTAAGAAATGCAGAGGTTCACAAAGACATTCACTGTCTTATAAATTAACCACTACTGGAGAAATAACCAGTGACCTTACTTAACCTCAGTGGGGTTGCCTGAAGACTCCATACAGAGCCTCATGATGGAAGATGGACATAAAATGTGATGTTTAATGCAGCCGTTTTCACAATTGCACTCTATCAAATTGTGATTTCAATAATTATAATAATAATAACAGTAAAAAAGACTAATCGTTCAGTCTTATGTGAAGCTCTGCTCTAATGAAGTGTCAAAAGCTATCTGACTGCTAACAGCACCCCCTTGTGGAGAATTCATAGCCTGTGAAACATGAGCGAGTTACATTAGGAGATTAAAAACTGTCCCTGAACAGCTTCTCCTATTCATGTAAACATTCAGGCTATAATTGTGTGTAATGTATTTTAATTGTAGGCCTACAGATAACAAATAAATGTAAACTGAATTTCTTGAAAAGCTCCTCATGGTGATGCAGGTCTGTTGTAACAGTAGCCGTTAACGCTTCATACATTTTACCATACAGTCTATACATTTCACACAGAACACAGAATATTTTAAAACACTCCTACAGGCTAGTAGTTGAGGACAGAGGTGTGTTTGAACTGCCCATGTCTGTTTTGTGATTGGCCATTTAGCTGAATGGTTAAGCCACTTCTGCCAATCTAATAGTTTGTGGTTATGAACAGACTAGGATGCACCTAGACACACTAAAAAACAGTTAAACACAGTCACTGTGATGTACTCGGCGTCATTCTCCAACCTTACAGCTCTGATCAGCCTTGTATTTCCTTTAACCTCTGCAATTGTGTAGTCAGCAGGTTGCTGGCCTTAAAAGCCTTTGTGCTGTGCTACAAGCAAGATGACCTGTTCTACCGCCAACTTTAGGCATATTTGTTTGGCCTGCATCTGCATGCGACAACGGAGCTCTGATTGGTCAGCCTGAATTTTAACGCGTCCGTACAGCACAGAAAATTGAGTCAGCCCATCGGACTTGGTGTGAAAGACGGCATTTTTATACTTGTGTTCAGTCATTAAGTCTTACATCTATGAACTAGGGCTAAATTAATCTGGATTAGCATTACGGAGACATGTAACATTATATATATATATATATACATATATATATATATGTAACAGATATTTTAGGGCAGTAACCCAGCATCACCTAAACATTCCGCTGGTCAAATATGAACACCTGTCTAGTGCCAAGAGTCAAATTTTAAGCAATTATCTGCTGATATGAATCCGCCGCTTATGTCATTCTGAGGAGCAAAGCTATTTTTTGGAGGATGGGGGATCTAATGCGTTAAGGCGGAGGTGAAATCTACCTCTATGCGCTGGTCTCCTCCTACCCTGGGCTATCTTCAGCTTAGCCAAAGAGTTAGTGACCGCCTCAACCTACAGCAAGAAAAACAGCACAAAATCAGTCGCTGACCCTACAGCTGCACTAATAGCAGTCACTCCCTAAACCCTGTGGGCGAACACAAGTTTATATCACGGTTCTTCCTACTATTTGGGCGATAATGATGTGATATCAGAATCTAAAAAAATAGAATAAATTAATAACCGTAACAGTAAAAATATCAGAATGATGCCGCAATGACAAAATTATTACTAGTACTAATATTTTTCATACTGTTTCCGTTATCATTATAATTATTATTTTTATTGTGATGATTATTATTGTTAGAGCAATGCCTGTAAGTTAAAAATTATACTACAAGGTCCATTCAACTTAAAATTCCTCATTATGTAAATACTAGCATGCACCCTGCACACTTAAAATGATGATTCTTTAGAAAAGAAAATGATTTTATATAGAACCATAAACACTTAAAGAACCCTTTGCATGATTAAAGCATTCTTCACATCATGAAAGGGTTCTTCACACTGATGGAGAATTTTGAAAAGGGTTCTATATAGCACCAAAAAGGTTTCTTGTATTGTTACAAGCTTGACTTTGAAATAAAAGAAGAACCCTTTTTAAAAAGGTTCTATATAAAACCATCTACAGCACATTCTCCACCAACCTGAAGAACCCTTGCAGGATGCAAAAGTCCTTTAATCATGCAAATGGCTCTTTGAGTGTTCATGGTACTATACAGAACCATGTTCTTTACTAAAGAACCCTTTAAGAACCATAATTTTTAAGTGTGTAGTAGCTTCATCAGTTCTGTTGTGTGGAAGCAGTTTTTAGTGGTTTTTACCTCTTCACTGATCCTCAGTTCAACTCTTAGTTCGTGTGTAAAATAATTTCACTGTTTGCTGCATCTAACAGAGGCAGCTCGCTGTTCCAGGACTGCTAAGTAAAGCTGAGTCCGCTGGATGGGTTTTACCAGCTGATCATTTTTCTTTGTTGTTCGTTGTTATTTTGTCGATTTGGTCGATTACCGCGGTGTGAAAAACTCGCTGTGCAGAGTCAAACAAAGGCAGAATCATTCTCTCAGATGCAGCTCTGTGCGTGTGTAGAGGGGGAGGGGGAGAGAATGGAGAACATGGCGGAATGTGGTGACAGAGATTCGGAGATATTTCTGCCTTCTAAGAAGACCAAGTCTGACGTTTGGTCATGTTTGGGGTTTTATAAGAATGCAGAAGGAAAGTTAATTGAAGATGACCACCCTGTCTGCAGAACAGGCCAAAAGAAAATAGCGGCGAAAGGGGGCAACACATCAAACCTTACGAGTCATCTTCACAACCACCACCCGCTACTTTTTAGAGAATGCAAGGTTAACTTTAACGGAGAAGTCTGTGGGGACTTCGAAATAGAAGAGATGTCGTGGTTTGTGTGGTTTAACTTATGCTTATGGTTCGTTAATAATATAAAATGAAGCTTTTAGCGTCAAAAAAAATAAAAATAAATAAATAAATAAAAAAATCGGTGAATCAACTGTGAATCGAAACTAAAGCTTTTAACACATTTCTATGGAGCAGAGTCTCCAAAATAAGCTCCGAGTTAACAGTCACACAAGCTCCTGAACGAGACGCTGCAGAGGTTCAATCTGCACAGCTCCCCTTTCTCTTCTCGCTTGCAGTGTTTACTGTCTGAGAAGAGAATAACACCGTCTCAAATCACTCAGTGTCCCCTACATAGGGCGCTACTGTTCAAACAAACACGATCATCATTAACAAGCAGTTGAGTTTTAAATAGGGAATTTGTAGCCTGTTGTTAAAGTTGATTATAGATGACTTAGTCGAACATTTCCTGCACTCTTTGGGTGAAGGATTTGCTATTTCATGATCCACGAAGTGCACTACATAGGGAAGATAGTTTGCTCTGAGATGGGACCTCGTGCGAGTAAACGCTGTGCTGCTTTTGGGAAAAGCAGAGTTTCAGAGATTAAACTGTCAGGAGTGTTTCTGCCGCAGCTCAGCCGCGTGTTAATTTTAAGTTATGTTTTACTTTTAAAATGCTTTTAGAGAAGCAGCTCCACAGGTGAAGACACACTGTGTGAGTTCTACACTGTCTGCAGCTCACAGCGCGGTCACGCAGTTCCTCTGTGATTTTGGCTGTTTTTCCTGGTGCACTGTATTGATTAGGACAGTTAGGACAGAAATCCCCCGAGTGCAGCACTTCTTAGAAGTAGTAATTTTCCATTAAGACCCACCTCAGAGTTGGTCGAGATTTAATTCTCTATGCAGGGAAATCCCTAGTTATTGTAATTAATAATAATAATAATAATAATAATAATAATAATAATAATAACAAATAACAACAAACAACAACAAAACAACAATAATAATAATAAATTACACCAGTAATAATAATAATAATAGTAATAACAGTAATAATAATACATTTGCTATTCTTTTGTTTACAGAATATTGTAATACTAAAAATTTATTGACCTTATTTTTTAATGTTTATGCAAACAAAAAGTGCATACTGCTGCCAATTCTATTTGTGTTAATATAAAAGTTGGTGAAACGAGTTTCAGTTTGTGTATCAGTATTTATTCATTTATTTATTTTCCTTTTCAACGCATTTGAACAACATCGCGATAATATCGATAATCGTGGTAATTTTGGTCATGATAATCGTGATATGAAATTTTAATATCATTTCATCTCTAAAGCTTCCATTATTTGTTAGCTACATTAGTGTCCAGTCGGTTGAGCTACGTTAGCCTCACAGTTCCACTTCAAAACTAAAGAAGCAAACTAGATCTTGGCTGATCGAGTACAGTACCTACTACACCCTACCCTGCATTCACAACGTAGACTCCAAATGGAAAACAGTCGATACACCAGTGTTTCTTGCACACATATAGGGCTGAGACTCCTCTGTATGAGTCTGTATGAATAAGACACTAAACTCGTCTGTAAGTGTGCCAGAATACTCTAACCGGTCTCCATTAGTGTACTTATATGTGAGGAATGGGGAGAGATGCCTGGAGAACAGTGTCCATCAGATTATAAAAGAACACTACAGTTACACAGGGATTCTGACAGGTGTCCCCATCAGTTTATATCCCTTTATCATAACTTCACACTAGGCCTGGGCGACATCTAAAAATAATCAGCACTATTTTTTTTAGTTTAAAAAATCGTGCTCATCGATAATATCACCAATTTGATAATATCATATTTTCAATTGCATTCACTCAAGCTAAACTTATCATAAAGTAAAATAAGTAGAAGGTGAAGAGCCGTGCAGTAAAGCTGGCATCACACAGCACAGCAGAGAGCTTCTTAACAAATCTCTCTCTCTAATCATCTCTCAGCTCATTTTTCCCCAAAACGATTATCGCCTTTTTTGAGGATTTTTACCCAATTTTCTCCCTAATTTAGTATCCAATTCCACCCACTAGTTAAGACTCCCCCAATCACACGATACCACCAGCGCTAGGAGGCTAAAAGGCAGACACAGGCTTCCTCTGAGACCTGTGAAGCACTACCACATCTTTTCGAACTGCCACTGTGATCGGACAGTTGAATGCGCTTGGAGGAGACGCTAACCACCAGATCTGTTACGTCAGCTAACAGACGCCTGCGCTGACTAGCACTGTGCTGAGTGATGGGGGGAGACGGGGGGCCATCCTACCCACCCAGAGAGCGAGGACTGCTGTGCTTTCTTGGACTCCCGGCTACGGATGGCTGTAGCATCACCAGGGATCGGACTCACGATCCCCTGATGATACAGCCAACGCTTAGACGGTTGCATCACTCGGGAGCCCCCATGATTATCGCCTTTCACACATCGCCATTGGGTTACTTGTCCATGACTGATGATATCTGATCACATCACCCAGGCCTACTGCACAGTCTCCACCCACAGAGGCATCTTTTTGCAGTTACTCTTATAGACAAGCTTTACAGAATGCTGACAAACACAAACGTGTACGTTTAATAGTGCGTAAGAAACAACTGCTGTTTCGTATGCATGTGAAAGTCACGGGACACATCAGGGCCCGAGAAATAAAATATCTAAATGGGATTTTTTGCAGGTGTTCTATAAAGCTTGTCTGACCCTGCAACAGAGGGTCAGCCACAGAAGAATGCACTCTGGGGGTGGAGCAAGTCAATTAAAGCCCAAATATCTTGCGTTCAAAGCCAGTGAGGTCTCCCAGTCAGATGTGAGTGCTTTACCCTGTTATCCAGTTGGGCTGGTTTCTCTGAGGTCCTCTTGTTCCTCCTCTTGCTGATCTTCTCCTGGTTGTTGCTGGTCTGAATAGTTTGATCGGCAGGCTGTGCTGCAGGTAGCTCAATTCTGGAGTGGAACTGGTACTTTCCGCTCTCCTGGTCGTAGTAGTAGTACATGCCTGTATTGGCATCGTAATACAGCTGGCTGTTCTGGAAACAGCAAAACCAGGACTGCTTAGTCTGGATCCATTCATTCACAGAAAACCTGCTCTGTCAGCACAGTAAAGTACATTTATACTGTTTACTGTAAATACCAGTTAAATGTATGTATAGCCATATATTCCAAAAGAGTTGGGGCAAGGATTTAGGTATCTCACCCTCTACAGTGCATCATGCCATCAAAACATTTTGGGTATCTGGATAAATCTCAGTGTGTAAAAAGTAACGCTAAACATGTTTGCAGTAGAGGGACGACGGCAAACTGGATATTCCATGATTTACAATGGAGCCGGAATGGAAAATTCTGCCACCGCAAGTGGCAGAGGTCCCCAGACCACAGGGATGAGCAGAACTTTCCATCAACATCTTAATTTTCCCATCTTTAGCCATCAACCTCAGCGGTGGAATAAACTGGATGTTGATTTTTTGGGGAGCCATGGATGCCAAACGTCTCGCTGTCAAATTCCAGACAAACTTAGTATTAATCAACAAAAATAAATGCGTCCTCCTGCCTTTTTCCACCCTAAATAAACAATCTACGCTGCTATCTAAGCTCTCCTCTGATAATCAGCCGTTTTCTGCCACTGTGGTATTGTAATGAATATATTACTATTATAATCAATAAGAAATCCATAATTATAAGCTAAAAAGTTGATTAACAAAAGTGTATTAATCCTCTCACTAAGGATAGGCCTTGCTGTGTGTAAGATGAGAAAGTCCTGACGTTTAGAAGCATCTAGAAGCTAGTGTACTTTGTTGTGAAGGAAAGCTGACCCTCAAAGAGCGAGGTAAGCTGATAGGGAACCAGGCATAATCGGTTTTGGACCCAAATCAATAAGACAAGAAGCTAATTGGTAGCCTTGGAAGGATGGGGGTAGCCTGGGATAGCTGAGCATGGCAAGTTTTTTAAAAAATAAGGACAGGTGCGGTTGGAAATACGGGTTTCCAACTGAAGTGTAAAAATAAGAAATAATGGGAACCAAAGTGAACTGAGAAAAGGTGAAAGGGAGGGGGCGATTGCTTCATCGCCCCCAAACAGGGTATAAGAAATTATGTTTCTGTATTGTACTTTGCATTTGGCTGTCCGGGAGCCATCTTGCCACCTGAAGCTCAATAAAAGAAGAGGGCCTTTTCCTTCCTTCAAAAGAACTCAACGGCTGAAGTCTTTTATTCAACTTTCTTTTATTTTTGACTAAATTTTATTTTATTTTTTATTTTGCGTATTTTGTGCAAAAACCAAATCTGTGACCCCTCAGATGGCACTGCAATAAAAACTGCCATGTTTCTGTGATGGATATCACCACATGGGCTTGGCAACAACGACAAACTGCCGTCAATAAACACCGTCTGTCGCTGCATCCACAAATATTATTAATACTTACTATGTACAGTGGAAGTCGCGTAACGGAATCATCACTGACTTCTTTGGGCTGGTAAAACATTAAATATGTCATCTTCGTACTGCTTCTGTTTAAGTACAGGTCACAGTAGATTCTAAAATCATGCTTTCGGTTTTTATTTGCAGTTTACCTACTGCACCTGTCAATGAGAATGTTATTCAAAGGAGAAAAATCTCACATCAATTATTTCCACCCTTGGTTTTACTGCTTTCTGTATCCTCATCTGTCAGAATAACAGCCCTGAAGTCATCTCCTATAGTGCTGGATGAGGTGGGAGCACACATACAGTACTGTGCCAAAGTCAGAGACCATCTTTTGATTTATTTAATTTTCAGTCCAAACAGCCATTAAGTACAAGTTATTAATTTTTCAATATGAGAAATAAACAGGAAACACATTTTACAGAAAATCACACAGAAGCCTCAGCAACTAAATCTAATCTCAGCTGTTCGAGTGCTCAGTGAGTCGCTCTTTCCCTTTATTCCAGCTTCCACTCTTTTCAGGAGACTCACTTTCAGTTCCTCAAAGAATCTGCAGACACACCTCCAAAGTTCAGTCTTAGAAGTTGGTTGATCATTTTCTGAAGTAATCAAACCCATTCAGTGGTGTTGAGGTCTGGACTCTGGGGTGGTCAGTCCATTGTTCAGCTTCTTTGTTTGATGTGTCCGTGTCCTTTTCTCAGTGAGGTTCTTCTTGATCAGCTACACATCCTTTCAGACCCACAGCGCTGAGTCGTCTTCTCACAGTGGAAGGATGGACAGAAACACCTGTGGATGTTTTCAGATCTGAAGCAGCTTGATTTTCTCCTCTCTCTCAGAGATGAAAGCTTTAAGGGCTGTTTATCTGATGCGGTCAGGTCTGGTGGTTGTAAGGAGTCCCATTTTCTCTGTAGCTTTTAATTGGGTAGCTTTTTGAGTGGATGTTAGCATCTGTTTGAAGGGGAACATGATGTCATTGACATCTTTGGGAAGCTTTTGTTGGGAGGACTGGCTGGTTTTAAGATAAGTAAAGCAAATTAAATTCTGACAGACTTGATATTATCTTTAAGAATAAGCAACTTGTACTTAATGACTGTTTTGATTTGGATGTCCACTGCGAACGCTTGATTTTGTGGTCAATTGCCCATTTTTGCGTGGATTTGAGTTTGCTTTGGTCTGTTTAAAACATTCAAACAGTTCACTGTTTGCTTGAATGAAATGAAGGATGACATATACGAGTGAAGTGGTGCAAAAGCAACTCACTGAGTCGTAGTAGAAGCCTGTGGCGTGGTCGTAGTACATGCCTGAATTCTCATCGAACACAAAGCCTGTCTGAGTCAGAGCTTCCTCTGCCGTGGCTCTCAGCATGTCGGCTATGGAAGAACTGCCATCACCACCCACCTGCTACAAAATACACACAAGACACAGACATTCTGCCTATTATATAACTGCACAGTTTATTTAACTTTTGAAAAAAAAGCACCTCATTTTTTAAATAAATTAGACAGCAGCTGGGTCTCCATTCACATATGCATATTTAGGCATACTGTATAAGAAGACACTCAAAGATAAAAATAGTCGGAATAGGCCCAGGCGATAGGACTATGTAATTGGATATCATCGATGATGGAAAAGTAACCTAATCGCGATGTGTAAAAGGCAATAATCACCATTTTGGTAAATGAACTGAGAGACAATTAGAGAGGACTAACTTACAGTTAAACAGCTTGAAAATACATTGGGAAACTGGCATTCACGTTTAAGAAGTATGCAGACTCACACAAGTAGTTCTGGCAGAGAGAGAGAGAGAGAGAGATAGAGAGAGAGAGGTTTCTTGAGAAATGTTATTTCTCTCTGCTAAGCACTGTAATGCTAGTTTTACCACAAAGACTTCCCTTAATCTACTACGAATGCAATCGAAAATAAATGCTGCCACAAAGTGACCCCATCATCATCATCTTCTTTAACTGCTTAGTCCAGATAGGGCCGCGGTAGCAGTTGGGAGAGCAGAGAACCTAGATGACCCTGTCCCCCACAACTTCCTCCAGCTCATTCCGGGGGAGCCCAAGCCGCTCCCAGGCCAACTTGGAGATATAAACCCTCCAGCGAGTCCTAGGACAACCCCAGGGTCTCGTCCCCAGTAGGCTGTTCCTGGTAAACCTGAGCTCCTCACCCTGTCAGTAGAGTGTAGCCCGCCACACTGCGAAGAAATCTCATTTGCGTTGTTCATATCCACAACCTCTATTGGTTCGGTCATTATCCAAAGCTCATGACCACAGGTGAGGGTGGGGATGTAGACCGACTGGTAAACAGAGAGCTTTGCCTTATGGCTCAGCTCCCTCTTCACCACTACAGTCCGGTACAATGACCGCATTACTGCTGCCTGTCCCAGCCTGCGGCTGATCTCACCATCCCTCTTCCTGTCACTCGTGAACAAGACCCCGAGATACTTAAACTCCTCCATCAGGGCCAAAGTGACTTGCTCTCGTAAAAAAACGAGCTAAAATGACTGCATACTGATGCTGTGACTACAGAAAATTGCTTGTTTTTTAATGTGGAAAGCATGTGGCCACAGCTTTGGAAATCACTTGCAGTCTGAAGTTTTTCCAGCAGGGAGCGCTGTTAGCATGCAAGTTGTGCAAATCTACAGCAGAAGCAGCTCATTAATGCAGGTGTCTGTAATAACTTTAATTATAACATCAGCTGAGGTAGCTCTCAAAAGATCTTGGGCTACTCACTATTATTTAACATGTAAGTTTAATTAAAGATCTTTAAATTAGTTAAAAAATAAAATATAATATATATATATATATATATATATATATATATATATATATATATAAACTAAAATGGAATGGAAAGCACGTCAAAGGGCAAAGTCACTTAACCAGTCAGCAGCCTGTCCATGTTGTCCACCCTCAACATGGCATCAACACTCTCGCACACACGAGAGCTACTTGCGCGGAGACAGAAGCCCTTGCGCACAAGGAAAATAAGCCAGACACTCGTCTGCTCTTACTGCTCGCTTTTAAGCTTCTGCTTGCACAAGAGTTTAATTCATTGTTGACAGCTGTGGGCGGGTGCCGACATATGATTGGTTACTACTGATTTCTGCAATTGCGTTGTGATTGGCTGGCTGTCAGTGGTTGTCAGAGCTTTTGCTGCATATAAAAAACCGGGAACAGGACTTTTACTCTAGAAGAAGACCTTCAGAGTTCGCCAGTACAATGGCAGAATTCTATCTTTAGTTCAGTAATCATGATTTATTTCGATTTGCAGTGGATCTGCGCCCGAGTAGTTCTTTTCGCGTGCACGAGGGGTTTTCCTCGCGCAAGAGTAGTTTTCCCTCACACACAGGAGTAGTTTTTCATTTTGAATTGGATTTGATGCCATAGTAAAAGGTGCTGGAATCTTTACTGACGCAGGAGCACACAGGTGGTAAAAAAGACGGACATGGTGCATTCGGACAGGACTAAATTCACTGAGAACATATACATTAGTAGAAATGTGCACAAATACATGTCTTACCTCTGTTACCTCTGGCTGTGCCATACTGGTCATTTCCTCGGACTGCTGTGCACTCACTGCCGCCGTCTCTGTTGCCGTAGGATATGGCTCTGTGAGTTCAGAGGTTTCCTGCGATTCTGTGGAGATGCTTTGCTCGGTTTCTGCTGCTCCCTCTGCAGCAGCCTGATAGTAGCCCCCGTAGTAGTAATTGTAATAATCTGTTTAAAAAAAAAAAAGAACGGTTACAGCTTCAACTCACATCACATGAGTTCAACTTCAACTTCACTTTCTCCAAAGATGACAAACTGAATTACGGCTTAAGAGTTCTACTTTTCTTCCGTCTGATCAGAGAACAGTAGGGCAATTGTTGGACTTTCCAAGTGCATATTATTAAACCAGTCATCCTGACAGAGATGTTTAGGGTCTTTGTTTTGGTTCTGCAATGTTTTTTCCATCCAATTGAACTTTATGAAGCGTTCACGTTTCCTACTTGTTGCGTTAAATCTTCCCAACCAATGATAACATCCTTCATAATGACAACAGGTCACGAGAACATTTCTGTTTTGCATTATTTATATATATATAAATATATATATATATATATATATATATATATATATATATATATATATATATATATATATATATATATAACTATGTATATTTTTAAATAACGTCTGAATACAGTGTTTCCCTAACAATTTCACTTTCAAACCTCACCTTTTTGGTCGTATTTATAATGAGCATAAATTTGAAGTGGATCTATCCACCATTCAATTACAGGAAGTGTGTTCACATGAACGCCAATACTACGATCATTATAGGATTTCAGAAGTTGTCTGATAATTCAGGTGGTCGTGTAAACAGCATACTCCGATTTCTTAGACCGGATTAAGGTCGATAAAGAGACTGGATTTTAGCTCAGTAATGGGGTTTTCAGTGCATGTACACCTTTACTCTGATTTGTTTCATCTGAGTCTGCGAAAAGTGTTTAACAACCAACTACATGCTTGACAAAATGAAGATTTTAACACTTTTCTAGATGATGAATATTCATATTTTTCCATTAAGTTGCGACATGACATTTGAGATTTATGCTACATTTACGTCACGTCTTATTCAGTGAGTTTACTGGCTGGTTGCAAAACAGAAATCCGATTACTGTCTGACTCATGTAGACCTGGAGTTTTCCCATTATCTGATTACCCAAGTGTATGTAAACATGCTGAACGAATTACTGACAAAATCTGATTTTCTGCATTTATCGGATTATTAAATACATGTAAACGCACTCGGTGTCTAAATACTTGTTCTCACCGTATTTGTAAACATAACTGTAATCGCACCAGGAACAAAAGAGTTGCTAATTCCAGTGCAGTCTGTGTTTGTGAGATTAGAGAAAGCAGTGTTACAGCACCTGTCTCAGTCCAGGTGTACTCCTCAGTTTGAGTCTCTGCTTCTGTCCGGTTCTTCTCTTTCTTCTTCCGTTCATGGAGCTCCACGCTCAGCTTCTCAACCTACACACAAGTCCACACATATTTTTATCACTTATGATGCTCAAAGGCTTGACCTCAGGATAGATTTTATATGAAATCACCAACGGTCTTTTAACTGACCAACTATGGCGTAGTTTTTTGTCTTCAGTTTTCAAAAACAGTCTTCGTCCACACCAATAGCATTTTTGGAAATCTCTACATCCACATGAGAACGCAATGAGCATGCCAGCCCAGTAGGGCGCAGACAAAACTGCATAAAATTTGATGTCGTACACCTTAAGACAAATGTTGCAAGCACACTGTGCAAACGAAAGCAGAAATATTCTAACATCGTGGCGGTGGTGTTACAAACATTGCAGACAATATTTCACACAGATTCAACCTCAGATTCCTGCCAGAAAAAAAATTGCCATAGCTACACTACAGTTTTTGAAACATCCACAGAGTCCTGCTCAGGCACAGAAGCTGAGCTTTTCTAGTTTTTCAACCATTTGAATTTTGAAGTTAGAATTTATTTAGAATCTGACTTTGCTCAACGACGATCGAGTCACATCCCTTTAGAATGAGCGGATAGCGAGATATTTTTAATATTTATAATCGTGTTCAGACCTTATTTACAAGTACTGAGTTCAGTACATTCTGACGCCTCAGCAATAGGTAAAGCCAAATTAAATTATAAACATGATTATTACTTCTAAATCACCCTCAAAATGCTAAGCATACAAGAACAACCCAGGGGAAAACAGGCAATAGAAGGGAAATAGCAAGGAAACAGCAAGGAAATAGAGTGGAAATAAAGAGGAAACAGAGGGAAAACAGAGGGGAAAATGAGGGGTTAAACAACTACATTTTCAAAAATAATCAAATATGTGTAGATGGGGCCTCAAATTTGCTTATTTGGCACATTGATACCACATGGTACTTGTTCAAAGTCTCACAAAGTGAGATAACTAGTTCTGAGGCTAAACAATCAGCAGCACAAACATTTATTAGCAAGCAGATTGAAAAAGAAATTGCCTCTTCAGATGACCCAAAACTACAGCTAACATAGCACTGACTGCTGATGGACTGATAGCTGACTCGTCATCTTCTACACAAAGTCTTTTCTACTCAGTAGACGATGTGACGATGTGTTAGTTTGTCGGCGGAACACATTTAAGCCCAGAGTAGCTAGCCCAGTTAGTAATAAAGCTGTGCTACATTACGTCCTTAATGTTCACGTATTTGTGCTTGAGTGGCACAGTGTAATGTAATGTAATGTGTTACCTGCTGTCTGAGGTCCAGGTTGAAGCTCTCTGTGCTCTTCTGAAGCCTCTCGCTGTGGCTGAGCTGCTTCTGCACTCTCTGCAGTTCACTCTGACACTCCTGCAGCTCCCGCTGCAGCCTCTCCACCTCCATCTGCAGAACTGCAACCTCGCATCTGGAGCCCTCGTCCTGCACGTCTACATCAGCCTTCTCCAGACACGATGCCTCAGATCCAGGACCATCTTCCTCCTTCAGGTCCATCGCCTCAGAATCACAACCAGGTTTATCCTCACGGGACCCGAATCTCTCTCGTATCTCCAGATCCGCCAGCTCTGAGGTGGAGCCCTCCTCGGCATTGCTTGCCATCGCCCAGACCCTTCGATGTGAATACAGGACCCAGATCTTAATTTTGGAAAGGAATACTTCAGTATCTGACAACATAACCTCAGCAGGAAACTTCAGGTTCAGTCAGCAGCGCAATGACAGTTTGTTATGAGATAGTAAAGCCATAACCGATCCAGCAAAGGCAGTAAAACACATTTTTAGGGAATACTAACCAATATATTGGAGTGCACTGTCTTGATTTTATTTGATTAGTTGCTGAAGTGATAACAAATGAAAGCAACCCCCTTGCAACATCCTAGCAACCACTTAGCAACACCCTAGCTACCACTTGGGATACCATAGCAACTGCCTTGCAACATCTTAGCAACCACTAACTGTGGGATACCATAGCAACTGCTCAGCTAAACCCTAGCTACTTCAAAGCAACTGCTATGCAACAGCCTAGATACTTCTTGGGATACCATGGCAACTGCCAAGCAACACCCCTAGCTACCACTTGGGATACCATACCAACCGCCCTGTAAACTCCTAGCAACAGCTTAGCAACACCCTAGCTACCTTTTGGGACACCATAGCAACCGCCTTGCATCATTTTAGCACTCTTTATGTAGTATGGGGATATTCAAACTCATATCCGGGTTTTAGACAACAGGAATACACGCTTTTAGTGTCATATCAATAAAAACCTCATCTATCTACTCAACACACATTAAAAATTAAACACTTTCGGAAAATAAACGTTAGGTTTGATAAATAGCGGTAGTATCAATCTCACTACGAGGCTGAAGTTGGCTTCTTATTCTAATTTCCCGTTCCACCTTAAATGGTGCAGGAGTTCGCCTCAGCGTCAGCGAGAGACCGTAACTCCCGCACCATTTAAGGTGGAACGGGAAAAGTTCGAACAAGAACCCAAACTCAACCTCGTTACAACAGTTTTATGTTAAATTCTGCTTCTTTAACTACATGTTTTCCTGCCTTAGACCGTCTACAGTTGGTGTAGCTGCCTTCAGAGACTATTTATTTCGCGTTTATGGCTTTTAATGTGTAGAAGAATCTCACCGTTTTAGCCAAACTGCTCTCCCTCCAAACACCTCCGATTTACAACTGCCCCGCCTTTCGGCTCAACCTGTAAATCAGAGATAAACATCTTAGGACCACCCTGCATTGGAAACCCACCCGAGTACAACTTTGTTTGATGACAAAATGAGTTACAATGAAAAACCGGGCTGTGTTTATATTCCACTCCGACCGAAGCTGCCATTTTTCACTAAGTTCTTTCATAGCATTTGCTCTAAAGGCGCTCCTCTCCAGCATTACTGCCCCCTGCTGCCCGGGAGGGTGGCGCCCGTTAAAGGGGAACTCCACCGATTTTTTAAAATTCTGCATTAACTAAATGAGATGTAAACGAAGTATTCATTATTTTTTCAGATTTACGATTATTTAACCACCATCAACATCACAATAGATGGATCCGCTTACATTTCAAAGACCGAATTATTCAGAAAGTTTAAAAGCAGGTGCAGTTCCTCTTTAATGCTATGCTATTGGTTTGTACTCATAAACATTGTTTTTTATTTTTTGAGATTTTTTGAGTACTTGTAGAGTCGTACGCAGAGAACACACTTCCGCACATTTTAATGCACAACTACTGTTTATTTACTGAATTTAAAATATTGAGGGGAAAGAAATAAATTCAATCTACAAAGTGGTCTGTTCAAAAATTATGGCACATTCTGAAATAAACATAACTCAATGCCATATTAACTATTTGAATTGAAAGTGGGTTGTTTTAGGTGTGCCTACAGTGTACAATGCTAATCAGAGGCTAGCTAGCATCACCTGCTGCATTAGCCTCGCTCCAGTGTGAAGAACCAAACTTTGGTCACTAAGTGTCTTGGCTGACTGAATTAAGTGAAACTGGATGAAGTAAAACCTCATTTAAACCTGTGTAATTTTGGGTTTGTTTGGCCAAAAAGTTGTTTTCTGTATTTAATGTATGAAGTGCTCAGTCGTTAGCAGTTAGCAGAAGCTAAATGAAGCACTGTAAGGTCTGAAATAGTGGATTTCTGAGTTTAGTGCTATTAAGCTGCACTAATAAAGTCATTCTCTGGACGTTCAACACGCTGTGGCCTTCCAGGGGTCTGTCTCACGAAGGAGGTTCAACTTAGACAGGGTTCCTGACTGTTTCAGCTTTATGTAAACGAAGGAACCGCAGTTCATTCATTTTACAACGGCGGTTAACAGCTTTCTCTTTTTCTCACCCAGGTTTAGATACTCGAACTGGGATTAGACCTCATAAGCGTGCACATCTGACCCGGATCATCCCACGGGTTTTATGGGCATGTACCCAGGGACTGGCCACTAGGGGGGCCACTAGTGTTGTGCCAGTTCACACTGAAGATAACTAGTTCAAAGTTCAGTTCACGTTAATGTAAATGAACTAGTTCACATTCATAGCTCATTTTTCCAACTTTTTCAAGTTCAAAGCTTCAAAAATGAAGTAGTTCATGTTAATTTGATTCTTGTTTTCTTAATAAATCGGCCGCTATTCTTTTTTATAATAAAACCTCTTTCTATTCCACTGAACAATCACATACGTGAGTTACATTTAAAACATGGGATAACATTGGTTTTTAAAGTTGAGATTGGGAATATATTTTAATACGTAAACAATGTGTCATATTGTTCTGACAATCAAAAAGTATACAGTATATTTTATTTAGACAATATTAACTTATGCAGCAGCTCAAAACCACAAAATGGATTCATTGTGATTAATGAAAAAAACAAAAAAAAACCTCCAGAATAAACTGCACCGCTGTTACCGTGACAACACCAGACAAAAACTGTAATGTAAACAAAGGTAGCAGCTCAAAGTGCAACATTCAGCCAACATTTTTTTAATGAAAAAAACATAAAACTATTTCAAAATGCTCACACAAGCCGACTTCCGCAGTTACGTCTCTACAGCTAACACCAGACGTGCTTGGCTGCGTTTATGGAAGCGTCATGCCGCGTGGAGTAAAACGTGAGTGGTGTTCGTTCTCGCTCACGTTCACATTCCTTATTTGTAGACTGATTCATTCAGTTCAACGTTCACAAAATTACAATGACTAGCAATTATGACAAAATCTCAACAGCTGCCTTGACTCGAGGTGGAAACTGCACTAGCGGCACAGCTATTAAAATCGTTGAACCTTTCCGCTGTATTTTAGCCGATCATGATCCCAGCGGTGGCTGCTATAATCATTAACATACTTTATACCTCCATGCACTGCTTAGCAAATGTTCTGCTGTCTGCTATTATCGGCTAGCACCGATCAGCTAGCACTCCTTCTGAATGTGCATTGAACTTAAAGATCTAGATTTTTAAAAGATGTGCCTAGGAGGCTTGTAAAATGGAGACCTGCTGCTTGATGATCTGGGCCTTGCGCACATGAAACATGAGGAGGAGTTGAGCTGCTTACATGTTAATGGAGGAATGAGTTATCATACTACCCAAATATGAAGAATCTAAAGTATTTTTTATAGTAAAAATGCTATCTATGTATTATGATTGGCTCCATTCACCATTGAAAAGTAATATTTTTCACCTAATTGACACCAAAAAAGTCACAAAAAAAACTAAAGTGACCCGAAAAGGGAGCCAGAAAGCATTCCCTGATTGCTCCAAGAGCTCTTTATGATCCGTAATCCTGAATTTAGCCAGCCCTGCAGCAGGTTAGGCTCGGCCTAGATCGGGCTAAGCCTAAAGTTAGCTGGCTAAGCTTTGTGCGACAGGCCGCAGGCCTTTACACTTCCCTTCACAGCCAGCAGAGGGCAGCATAAGCTTGATTAATTTAACCCAGACAAACAGTGGTCTTTCTCTCCCACAGCCTGATAGTACAAGAACTACAGGAAAACAGCTCGTATGAATTAGCCAGCCTCTCTGGAGTTGAGCTTTACTACATCCACATTTCATAACATCTCGGTAATTTCGCAGATAGCTGCTCCGCCAGTTCCGGACGTGACCCGTAACAAGGAGCATCTATCAGCGCAGTGGCACCTGCTTCGGGCTCCGAGCTGCTAATGGCGTTCACATGAGCCAGGCGGCACGCAGAGCGGTAATGAGAGAGAGAGACGGAGACGGGAAATGGGAGTTAAACGGCTCGAGTTGCTTTATAGGGGACATAATGAGAGAGAGAGGAGAGAGGGACAAAGAGGTGGAGAGAGGGGAAGAGAGCGAGTGGAAAAGTGGAGGGGAGGCCGAGAACAGGACGTGAAATTTATGACACCTCTCCTCGTGCTCTTGTGTTAAATGGGCTTAAAGCATAATTGCCATTTACATCAAGAGCGTGTGAGTGTAAAATAGAAGCGCGTGCATGTTCCCCCGCACAGCTCTGTTGTAATCAAATGAGAAAACTTTTGATGAACGTGACTAATGCTTAAGGGAGGGGGTGGGGGGTGGGGGGGGTTATGCTGAGGCTGGACAATGTGTTTATTTTTAAAATCTCTGATTGGGCTCCTGGTACACGATACAATCTTTCATATTTTTGCATTTTATGAATTGGCCACCTGGTGGCTGAGCGGTGTAAATATTAAAAAGGTACAGGGCCAGTTCTGGCTTTTTGGGGGCCCTAAGCAGGATTTTTTGGGGCCCTCATCTTACTGTCTGATGTACTGTACAATTAGAGTCTAGTTAATAACAAAGAGCACCACAAGCCTTCTAAACCATACACGTTTATAGCTGGTTTATTGTGTGCTGCTGATGATTGAATGCTTGTTTAAGGTTCTAATAAGTTACAGTTTAAATTATAGATAAATATCCCAGAATTAAGCACAGCAAAACAGTATCTTAACCTGGATTAATCACAGTCTGAGTATCTAAACTGGATTAATCACAGTCTGAGTATCTAAACCTGGAATAATCACAGCCTGAGTATCTAAACCTGGATTAATCACAGTCTGAGTATCTAAACTAGGATTAATCACAGTCTGAGTATCTAAACCTGGATTAATCACAGTCTGAGTATCTAAACCAGGATTAATTGCAGCCTGAGTATCTAAACCTGGATTAATCACAAGATGAGTATCTAAACTAGGATTAATCACAGTCTGAGTATCTAAACCTGGATTAATCACAGTCTGAGTATCTAAACCAGGATTAATCACAGTCTGAGTATCTAAACCTGGATTAATCACAGTCTGAGTATCTAAACTAGGATTAATCACAGTCTGCGTATCTAAACCTGGATTAATCACAGTCTGCGTATCTAAACCTGGATTAATCACAGTCTGAGTATCTAAACCAGGATTAATTGCAGCCTGAGTATCTAAACCTGGATTGATCACAGTCTGAGTATCTAAACTAGGATTAATCACAAGATGAGTATCTAAACTAGGATTAATCACAGTCTGAGTATCTAAACTTGGATTAATTACAGTCTGAGTATCTAAACTAGGATTAATCACAGTCTGAGTATCTAAACCAGGATTAATCACAGTCTGAGTATCTAAACTAGGATTAATCACAGTCTGAGTATCTAAACCAGGATTAATCACAGTCTGAGTATCTAAACCTGGATTAATCACAATCTGAGTATCTAAACTAGGATTGATCACAGTCTGAGTATCTAAACTAGAATTAATCACAAGATGAGTATCTAAACTAGGATTAATCACAGTCTGAGTATCTAAACCTGGATTAATCACAGTCTGAGTATCTAAACCAGGATTAATCACAGTCTGAGTATCTAAACCTGGAATAATCACAGCCTGAGTATCTAAACTAGGATTAATCACAAACTGAGTATCTAAACTAGGATTGATCACAGTCTGAGTATCTAAACTTGGAATAATCACAGCCTGAGTATCTAAACCTGGATTAATTACAGTCTGAGTATCTAAACCAGGATTAATCACAGTCTGAGTATCTAAACATGGATTAATCACAGCCTAAGTATCTAAATTAGGATTGATCACAGTCTGAGTATCTAAACTAGGATTAATCACAAACTGAGTATCTAAACTAGGATTGATCACAGTCTGAGTATCTAAACCTGGATTAATCACAGTCTGAGTATCTAAACTAGGATTGATCACAGTCTGAGTATCTAAACTAGGATTAATCACAGTCTGAGTATCTAAACCTGGATTAATCACAGTCTGAGTATCTAAACCAGGATTAATCACAGTCTGAGTATCTAAACCTGGAATAATCACAGCCTGAGTATCTAAACTAGGATTAATCACAAACTGAGTATCTAAACTAGGATTGATCACAGTCTGAGTAT